GTGGAAGGACGCGAGGCGATGGCGAGGCGGCCGAGCTCCTCTATTTCATGTATGTATTTGTCTTACTTTACGGAAGTCACCAACTATCGCTGCGGTGCATCAGTCATCGCCGGGCGCTGCCCGGCAGAGCCGGGCGAGGCTGCTCTGCTCTGATTTGGGCTCACAGTTATTTACTTAATGGAGATGCGCTGGCAAACAGATAAATGAGCGAGGATGCCAGGTCCCTGAGCGTGTGGAGTCCAACTTCGGACCCTGGATGACAGAGGGATGCTGAGGCGGTGTGGAGACGGGACCGGTAAGAGCTGCCGAGGAGCAGGGCGAGCGAGAACAGCAGGCGAGGGGAAAGGGGACAGGTACTGGGAAGGAAGAAGGAGAGAAAGAAAGATCAGTTTAAGTCTAAATTATTTCTTTTTGTTCCCGAATGTAGCCTGCCCTGGCTGAGGTGTTGGCTGTAGGTTTGTGATACTGGGGGAATAGCTCGTTTCCTTGTCCAGAAGAAGGGACCTCTCCTGCACGGTCCCCACCTGCCTGAAAGTCAGGGACGCAGAAGGGAGCTCCGTGAGGGACCAGTGAAGATCATCCCATACTTTTCCCCCCTTCACTCTCCCCCTTGCCACTGCTGGCACATTAGCATGCAGGGTAGGCTCTGCTGTGTATTTAATGGCTCCATTTGCCGGCGTCTCTGTTAGCCCACACAGCCTTTCTTCGGCCTCACCCCGCAGCCTGGGACCCGCCGGGTCCATCTCCCCCAGGCAGACTCCCCAGGACACAGGGGCCGTTTCCAGCTGGGTTGGGCAGCGAGAGCAAAGCTCCGAGCGGTGCTGGAAGGGGAGGAGGCAAAAGGCAGCAAGCTCAGGCGAGAGGCAGGGAGAGACTCCGTCTCGGCAGCAATGAGGGAGAAGCTGTTTAGTCATCTCTCTATATATACTTTCCCAATGATGATCACATTTACTGATCACTTCTGACTGCACTGAGAGAGGGAGGCAGGAGGCAGGCAGCACAGTTCACCTTTTATCCTGAGGAGTGACTGCTCCCCCTTCCTTCCAGTTCCCCAGATTCAGCCCTACTTTGGGGTGCCGAGAGTGTCTTTCCTTGCCAGGTAAGACATCGCTGCGAGCCGGCAAGATGGGGCTCTCTGGGCTGGCTGGGAGGGAGGGGAGAAGTTTGCATGTGTTTATCCTAAGCCTGTTGCTTTTACTCCTAAATCTCTCCAATGGACTGAGGGAGTGAACATTTTGCAGAAAGTTTGATTGTCTGAGGTGATTGTGAAGGGGAAGGAATATGACGGACAGAGGGCATGGAGGCTTCGGCTGACATATTTTGCTTTAAAGCAAATACATCTCTGCTGTCTGAGCCTGACCCAACAAGGACAGGAGAGGAGAGAATGAATGATATCAAGGCTCTTCACTTCCTTTAGCAGTGTCTCATCAAGAAACTCACAGTATGTTTATCAGTCTTATTTTAAATTGTCCCCATCTGCCTCTGGGAAGGGAAGCACCACGAGATGTTTGGTTTGTTTCTGCTTTCGTGAGACTGCGAAGGGGCATTTAGTAAGTGTGGCGCTGCTGGGGGGGCTAATATGATAAGAATCCATCATTTATTTCTCAGCCCTTCTGGTGAACAGAAAGAACTGTGTTCTCTGAAGTTTTCCTTCAGAGACCTGGCCGTGCCTGACAGGTTTTGTTTTAAACTGGGATGAAACCACGGTGCCCATGAAGCGGCTGCAGCGCCCACGACCTGCGGGGCCGGCGGTGGCCAGGGAGGGGCTCAGATGGGGCCGGGGGTCCTGGCAGGGGACAGGGGCTTGTGCCACAGGCTTTTCTGGCAGATTTGCTTGCATCGTTTCACCGTCCCCATAATTATCTAAGGACAGCAGAGTCTTTTCTCTATAGGTGCTGACCTTTTTCAAGCAGGAGGCAAATTTATTTTATTTTGTATACCAGGTTTTCTAATGTCATCAGGATGGTACCAATCTCTTGTTAATTACTTCAAGTTACATGCAGGAATTATGGTAAATAAAATTAGAAATACGTGTATACGTACAGTATACATTTGTTAGAATTAAAGTGTGGCTATCTGCTGCATGAGCTAAGAGTCTCTGTTGACTGTACAGTATCTTTTGATCATGGCTAATTGCTTTCCAGCCTAAAAAGTCTGGTTACCAAAACCCAGGCATGCAGAAAAAGATTCTTTCCACATTCTATAGATAAACTAGTTACTTCACATTCTTTTTACTCAGCTTAGTTTGTGCAGCTCTGAATTATAAATCCAGCCCTGGCTCTCCCTGAATTTTCCATCTCTTTCTTTGGGGAGGGGTGGGGTTCCAAGGACTCTTGGACAAGAAAAAGCAAAAACTTCTGTGGCAGGTGATTTCATTACTCTTCTCCCTCTCAGTCCTTCAGACAATTTATAGTTGAAAAGAGTCTCTTTTTGTGTACTTTGAGGATAAAATGGGGCAGATTTAATGCAGCTTTGAAAATGAAGGTGTGTGTACTACAGTTTCTTAACCAGCTGCAGCTCTTGGTCCCAGAGAACTGGGAACCAAATTTCCACAGAACAACACCCTTCCCAACCCCTTTTGTTTTAATCTCACCTCTAATCTTTCACAGCTGAGATATTTATAGCTTCCCCACATATACTGCCAGCATGGCAGGACCCATTTTATCTTTAAAAATTGATTTAGAAATGTGTAAGTCACTTATGAGTTACCAGTGCTTTATTAGAACAATTATATGTGAAGTATTTATAGTGCCTCAGCAGCTAATGTAGGTAACCTGGAATTTACCACCAAAGTTATGAAAGTACAGAAGAGATTTCTCACGAGGCTCCCCTGAGGGGTCGGGAGCTGAGGATCAGTGTACTGCAGCTGGTCAGGTCACCCTATGCCACCAATCAGTCCTGCTGGAATGGCTGGAGTAGAATTAATTGACATTAAAAATCAGAGAAGACAGTTTACCAGCAGGGAAAACAGGAAGAGGATGCACGAACTTGGTCTCTTGGTTATTTGCCTGTATATATTTGGTGATTAATGAGTGAAGAGGGTCTCATCTCCTGTTTTGCAGTCCTGTGTTTCACAGAAGTTAAAAGATCCCCCACTGCTGGTTTAAGAAAGGGGCAGCTTTGCTCCTTGAGCCCCTGGAGGTGGCCCTGCAGCTACAGACCAGGGCACGGTTTCAAAGTCGTGCAGAGAAAGTTTGCAGAGCTGTGCTCTCCTCCATGCCAGGCAGACGAAGAGCCTGGTCTCCAGGGCTGCCACTCTGGCACTATTAATGCAGTAAATTCCCCCGTTAGGGGGAGAGAGAAAGTAGCACATTGTAATATTGAACAGTTCTTTATAGGAAGATATTGTGGGATGTTTACTCCAGTGCCATGTATATAAGCAAAGTGTCTCCTTGGGATAAGCATCACTATGGATTATTATCTGTTTCGTAATTACAAACCCTTTTCCAGCAGCAGTAAGATGCTTCCATGGGGGACTTCAATTGTCCTTTAGATAGTAAAATTGCATCGAAAGAGACTCCACATTAAGGTGATGAATGCTAATGTGCCCTGAAGAGGAAGAGCACTTTGGTGAGCAGTTCAGTCATTTTCACCACAGATTGATCCCATCATTTTTTATTCAGTATTTTGATGGCCTGTTGAAATCAATAATGCTGCAGCCTTACTGGCTGGAATGGCAGCTTTCATACAATTAAAAAACTTCAGAGTAAAACTGCCTAGAAGGAGATCATGTGGAAGATACAATTAAGCTTTGAGGGCCTGAGTCAGTAGAATCAATGGAATTTCCATTGATAAATCAACTTTTGATAGGGCCCCTAATGCATCTTATACGATAATGGCACCTTTCCCCAGATAATTTTATGGTGGAGTTAGAAAAACATTAGGGAAGTGAAAGTAAATACAAGTTAAAACAAAAGTTAAATATTGCAAGAACTCTGACCAAAGACCTAAAAGAAATTCATGGCTATCTCAGAACCACAGCAACTGCTCTAACTTCCAGAGAATGTTGGCTTCCAGTGGCTGAGGGTCTAGACAACTTGGGGCATTTTTAATCTATAAATCGAGGGTGCAGTGAATGTGTTTTATTTCCACCAAATAGTCCTTCAGTGCTACTGCCTCTGTTAGTTAGGAAATAATCAAAGTATCCTCCTGCTGGAAGAGCATTGCCCAACTTTGGAGGCTTCCCTCATTCTGATGTTGTTGGTACTCAGCTAGTAGCTGAATCCATCAGCACTCAAGCTTGCTGTTGCTCAGGTATTCTGAGCAATGTTTCCCTGGCAGAATTTTCCTCCGGTCTGGTGGAGGGATGAGATACTTCACAGGAGTGAAACCCATCTCAAAATAAAAGAGGCCAGCAAGAAACTGCTGCTGAGGCCAGGTCTTTAATTAAAGGTGGGAGAAAACTAACAAAAAACAGAGAAGATTTTCTGTTTCCTTCAGCTGAATATGTTCTCAGTGCAAGATTCATTACACTCCAAACTTTTTTAAGACTGGAAACGTGGCTCAGTCCAGCCCTGGCTCTCCACGGCACACATCCCACCCGGTGAACTGCAAGCTGATTTCAGAGGAGTTCTCAGCTCTTGCTTGACAGCTGTAGTTGAACTGAGGAGCGTGTGAGGCTTACACCTGGGGAATCATGGATTAGTCTTGTTTGTAAGGAAGCAAATATAAATTAGTGTGTTTATGCTACTTTTAAAATGCTTTTAATGAGGAAGCATTTGCTATTCAAAATTTCAATCTATAATAATGCCATAACCCCGCTGTGCTGATTATCACGTGCCTTATTTACCATCATTCTTCAAGTGGCAGATGAGGTTGAGCCAGTTGGTTCAGATTCTTGTGTATGTACTGACACCTGACTCTGACACAAGGGGGCCAGACACCCGCTTCACTGCGCTGTGGTTTTGTTTGTTCTGTATTTTAGATGGAACTGATCTGACTTCCAAGAGGTCTCAGGAGCAGCCTAACTGTCTTCTCCAGTAACACGGCCGGGGGTCATCATGGCAGCAGGAGTAGCAGCATGGTTGCCCTTTGCCAGGGCAGCCGCCATAGGATGGGTGCCAATGGGCCACTCTCCCCCG